TATATATGTATATGTGTATATATGTGTATATATATATATATATATATATATATATATATATATGTGTGTTTATATATATGTATATATATGTATATGTGTGTATATATATATGTATATATATGTATATGTGTGTATATATATATGTATATATATGTATATGTGTGTATATATATATGTATATATATGTATATGTGTGTATATATATATGTATATATATGTATATGTGTGTGTATATATATGTATATATATGTATATGTGTGTATATATATGTATATATGTATATATAAGGACCTGTAAATAAAGATTACTTACTTACTTATGTCTCCAGTCCATCACAGGGACACATGGAGACAAATGATACAAACAATAATTCACGCTCTCTCTCTCTCACTCTCACCTACGAACAATTTAAGAGTTACTAATCAGCCTAACATTCATGTTTTTGGTCTGTGGGAGTAAACCGGAGTACCCGGAGAAAACCTATGCAGCACAGAGAGAACATGCAAACTCCACCCAGAAAGGCCCCCCACCAGGATTTGAACCAGGGTGACCTGCTTGTTGAGAGGTGGCAGCTTGACCAACTCTGCCATTGTGCCGTCCAGCAATCTGTTTGAACTGTTTGACTGATCTGATGTTGTTTCTCTGTAATCTTATATCAGGTTGAAAGTGCTCATGTGGAACTACACTGCCTGGCCAAAACAAAAGTCGCCACCAAAAGAAAAGGTCACACACTAATATTTTGTTGGACCGCCTTTAGCTTTGATTACAGCATGCATTCGCTGTGACATTGTTTCGATAAGCTTCTGTAATGTCACAAGATCTAGTTCCATCCAGTGTTGCATTAATTTTTCACCAAGATCTTTCATTGAAGATGGCAGATTCTGACCACTGTGCAAAGCCTTCTCCAACACATCCCTAAGATTTTCAATGGGGTTAAGGTCTGGACTCTGTGGTGGCCTATCCATGTGTGAAAATGATGTCTCATGCTCCCATAACCACTCTTTCACAATTTGAGCCAGATGAATTCTGGCATTGTCATCTTGGAATATGCCCGTGCCATCAAGGAAGAAAAAACATCCATTGATGGAATAACCTAGTCATTCAATATATTCAGGTAGTCAGCTGACCTCATTCTTTGAGCACATACTGTTGCTGAACCTGACCAATTGCAGCAACCTCAGATCGTAGCACTGCTCCCACATGCTTCTACAGTAGACACTAGGCATGATGGGGATGGGTGCATCAACTCACCCGCCTCTCTTCTTACCCTGATGCTCCCATCACTCTGGAATAGGGTCAATCTGGACTCATCAGATCACATGACCTTCTTCCATTGCTCCAGAGTCCAATCTTTATGCTCCCTAGCAAATTGAAGTCTTTTTTTTCTGGTTAGCCTCATTGATTCGTAGTTTTCTTAAGGCTACACAGCTGTTTAAGAAATGAGAAGCAACTCATTGCACCAGTTGGGGTTAAATAACTTGTTGCCAGCTGAAAGATCGCCCATGCAGTAATTATCCACTAGGAGGCTCCTACCTGTTTGCTTAGGTAAATCCAGGTGGCGACTTTTTTTGGCTAGGTAGTGCATTATTGTATCTTGTGCTCCATCAATAAGCCTTTGACTCTGTCTTGTGAGATTGCAGTTTAAGATTTTTCACAAAAAATAAATTTATTTTCTAAACTTCACACTTCCCTTTTTCTTCATGAATAACAAACCACAAGTGCAAACTTGAGCTTTTAATGTGTACATTTTTGAAGTTGTAATTTTTAAGTATTTTTCTCATTGAGAAATAATACACCGCAAGTTTGGTTGATTTGAATTATTCAGGAGTTCACACATTTTTGGTTGCGTACAACTATTGACAAATTCTCACAGCTTTTTACCTGTGAATGCATTTTGTTCATTAAGGTCCTTACCTCATAAATAATGCAACTTAACTGAGTGTCTTTGACTTGTTAGGTCTGGTTTACAATGTGACTCCGTACATGGACTACCACCCAGGAGGAGAAGAGGAGCTGATGAAGGCAGCAGGGATAGATGGCACAGACCTCTTTGATCAGGTCTGTGAAATTACAAAGTAAACGTCCATTTCCTTCATTCAAGGGCTTCTCAAAGAACGAAGAAGGGTTTCCTCTACGATTTATTTGAACCGTGGTGGTGGGCTGCCTGCAGGGGGTGGGGATGGGGGTGTTGGTTATTGTTGAACATGACGCTGGTAATATGACTGTAGAGAGCAACAACATCATTTTAATTATGACCATTTCAAACTGAATGGTTTTTGAACAACATTTATTTAATATATTCACACTGTACAACTGAAATGACAGCTTTAGTATCTAATGGCACAGTTTGCAGCCTGGCTGAGAGCATTTTATCCTTCTAGTTTTCTTGAAAATGAGGTCTTAATGCCCTGTTGTATGGGAACTCAGTCTCAGGGGGCCCATTGATGCTGAGTAGATTAGCATATTGTGATCAAGGTCATTATTTTCCATAATGTAATGATAAAAATGAAACTTTCATATATTTCAGATTCATTGCAGACCAACTGAAATATTTCAGGTCTTTAATTGTTTTAATACTGATGATTATGGCATACAGCTCATGAAAACCCAAAATGCCTGTCCCAAAAAATTAGCATATCATGAAAAGGTTCTAT